AATATCTCGTTAACGGATAGACGGAAATCAAAAATGTCAACACTACAATTTATTTAAACTAATACTCCATCTATTTATTGAATTTTTAGTATAGATTACGAAAAGAAAATCAAAAGTAGGTAATGGTTTCACCCCCGAAAGTAAGGGTGACAAAAAATAACATAAATAAACAATTTTAGACCGGCTTATTTCTTAAATTTTTTAGAAAACAATTTCCGAAAAAAATTAATACTTTCGGAAATAACGATTGTACCCATTTAAATTAATCACCTGGTATTTAAAATTACATAACCATAATAGCAATTTAAATTTGAACCGAATGTAAGATATAATTATTATATTATAATACGTTTAACTAGGGTCATCTAAAAAGTTCAGCTTTTAGGTTTTTTTGATTAAGTATTAATTTAACTATTCAGATAAATGAAATAAAGTTATAAAACACTGCAAGTAAATTTTGGTATAAACAAAATACAAAAAATGTAGTATGATTTCAAATAGGATTTTTTTATTAAAACTTAAAACCTGTTTAAATCTATTCTTAAAGTATTTCTAAAAAACACAAAGTATTTAATTTTGGTTGTTTTTTTTTTAAACCAATGTTTTGGTCAACCCTGTTTGTGTAAGTTGTATACAACATACGTAGTTCACCGAATACATTTAATTATAAATGGCATTGCTCATTTCAGTTTTACCTGAAAGTTGGTAGGTACTATTACAAAAAACTCAAGGTTTTCTTTATAAATAAAATATTTGATTATTGAGTGACTCGATATCAAATTTGTTCGCTTAGGTGAGTTTTTTATGACAATGTATAACTAAAAAAAAAAAATCTAAAAACATTTTATGAACTATAAATCAATATTTATAAAGACTTAAATATATGATGAATATTACAATTTTTGTCACAAAATAAATATTATATATATTTTAAATAAAATAATGCAGACAGGTTTTATCGGAAAACCAAACGCACCGAAAAGTTTCATGTTATTCGATAAAGTTAAAAATTATAGCCATTCAAACTACTTTTAGCATTATTATTTACTGAGTATTTTTGATTTATAGCGTAAAACAAAAAATAAGAAAGAAAAAGAGTAGACATGAATTAATTTTCGAAATTTTATTATCACTCATCGATGTTTTAGATAGATGTATGGGGACTTTTATTATAATAAAGTTGGCTAAGTTTTGAGATAATATTAACATTTTAAAACACTTAAGTACGATTTATAAATTGATTTTTAGTCGTACATTTTAATTTAGCATATTTGACTTTCTATAACATGCACATCTTAATAGATCATCGACTCTTTTAAGCCCGTAGAAAACAGTACGGGAGTCTATTAATTGTGTATGCTCAATATTGTTTTGTTATAACTATTTGATAAACGATTGAAAATTATCTAAAAATTACTGAAATTAATATTTATATTTTACAATTGACTTTAACATAGTTTGGGTTTTTTTTTTGTTTTAGGGTAACTAGTTAAACGAATTGGTATACTCGTACAGCTTTGCCTAAAATTATTCTAGGACTCGATTCATTTCTCGTTTCACATTTTTATGTATTTTGTGTTTTTAACCAAACCGTTTTACATAATAAAATGACTGTAAGTATATAACGAACTGCCAATCTATATCTTGTTTTTCTATAATTAATTTGTTAGAGTTAGACAATATATTATTGCATACCTATCAAATATACTTTATAATATAAATATTAGTTTACGCGATAATATTTCACAATAAAACCTCACTACCAATTAATTTTTAACCACTGTTAGGTATATTATTATATCTACGATAATTTATAATTAAGTATAATGTATTTAAAAAACGGTATTATTTAATTATACGAACTAATGATTTTTAAAGTATCGTTTGTTTTTCTTTCATCAATCATATTATTATTATAATAATAATTAAATTTCTCTCCAGCTTTTACTAAAATGCCCGTTTAAAACGTTATTGATATATATTTTTTTTTCTCCGGAAATCTAAGACTTTCATTTCATTAATTGCTTTTAAAATAATATTAAATAAATATAATTTATACAGTCATGGAGATAAGTGCCTTTCGTACAAATTTAATATTTGCCGAGTGTTCTTTAAAACCGTTTTTTTTTTATACTATAATCGAACTAATTCCAATCGTAGTGTATAGACAAATAATATTATTTATCTTATGAGTATAGTAGGTACTATTTATTTGCAGTTTGTACGTGGTTCACCGGGTTTTCTTCAATAAAAGGTCATGAAATAGATTTAGAAAAAAAAGCTCCAATCCAATCCTGCATCATCGAATTTTGTTTACAGTTAGGACCAGTTAAACAAACCACTTACCGATGTACTATTATATCTATTTTTATCAACAGTTCAGCGTCCTTACATTCAAATGAACCGTGCAGTTGGAAATATTATAAAAGAATTACCTAGGTAGGTATTAAACCCAAAAGTATTATATATTTTACGATGTTGAAAATATATTTATTAAGAGCAGAATACACGAGGTTTACACGATTGCACGTAGTGTACGAGAGTGAGAGAGAATGAGAACATAATGCGGCTTATCACACATGCAAGTGATAGCCACTTACAGTGTGTCCTAGTACAACATCTCTCTATACATTTGAACATAACACAATAACTTATTTAAGCTCAATTGTTACATTAAATATTTATATACTCAAGTTTGATTATACTGACAAAATAGATAATATTAGTTCATATAACTTAAAATATTACATCGAGCAAAAACAAAGTAACAATAGTAGGTTAGGTTCCTTACGTTCTTACGGTAAGAACGAAAAAAAAAACAATAAAATAATAAAAATTTTGAATTGGCAATCAATATATTATTTACTAAACACCTAGATCCATAATATGAATTAAGTCTATCTGATATTTTCACTGATCTACCACTTCTACTAATCTTAGCTATTACTCTGCTTTTCCCCTTTTCTTCCTCTTCACTCCCACTAGAGTACCGTGACTCAACATAACTTACACTCTCTTTAAATTTATTAACCGATGGTTTTAAATGCCAAATATTCCATCTAATCGCACTTATATTACCTACTTTAACCCAATAGAATCTTAGGGCTATCTGCAATTTTTATTACTTTCCTCGGTATTCATTTATTTTTTTTTAAATTCCACCACATTCCGCCTCCCAGAGAAAATTAATTATTTTTTATTATTTTTCTTATCATGCCATTCTTTATATTTTTTCTGCGCCTTCTTTAAGTTAACATAATTATTCTTCTGTAAAGTTGAATTTAGTTTATCTCTTAAAACCGATAATCTTGTTTCTAGCAACCTACTCATTAATAGTTCTGCTGGAGAGGCGTCAAGTTCAATCAAAGGATTACAACGATACTATAACAGAGCTATTTCTAAGACCACTTTCACACTTAGGTATTTTTATAATAACTGTTTTAATATGTGGACAGTTTTTTCTGCTAAACTGTAACTTTTTGGGTACTCGGGGCTAAACGTTTGCACCACAAAATTCCGTGCTCTTGAGAAACTTATAAATTATGTACAGTTAAATGGGATATTGGCTGGAATAATAATTTTGGGTATCCTATGACAATTAAATATTGTTTTAAACTCTGCTATCACCGCTGATGCTATTTTATTCCCAACTACTCTTATTATTTTATATTATATATTATTATTATTATTAAGCCACTTAGGCCAGTAATGTACTACAATTATATTGTCTGTTAAATTATAAGTCACGATGTCCGCATCAATCTTTTCAAACGGTAACTCTGGAACTTCATGCAACACCAATGTGTTTTTTTGTTTGTATTTCTAAAGGTTTCACAAGTTTTGCATCTTAGTATAAATTGTTCTATTTTATTCAACATCCCTAGCAAGAAAAAACAATTTTGCTCTCATCCTTGTTTTGGTGATTCCTAAGTGATTTCCATGAGGAAATTTTAAAATTAAAGGTCTCAGATTATTCAGAACTATAATTTTTTGCTGGTAGTAAATAACACCTTTGTTAGCTATTATTTCATTTCTCATATTAAAATATGTATTAACCACACAGTTACTCTTTGGCCGGCCATCATGATAATATTGAAGAACTTTACTCAAAACTGGGTCCTGTCTAGTATCTTTTTGCAAGTCATAAATACCAACCATTTATAATATACACTATATCTAAAGTGTCGAATTCACTGATTTCCTGGCTATTTTTTATGTAGTTCCTGGAAAACAAATCTATAATGTGCATATTTTTCACAGGCAAATATTTCAGCTATATATCATACTCAAACAATTTAATTTTCATTTTTAGTAACCTATTTGATGGAATTTTAGAAACATTTTTTTCATGCGGTCTAAACATAATCTTAAGCTTTCATCTTTTTTATGGACTATAACAATATTGCTTGACTATTGTTTAAGATCTTCTACTGTCTCTATAATACCACTTTCCGGAAGACTACCTAGATCTTTTTTTAATTTTTCCAAGACTGCCAAAGGGACTCTCCTTTGTGATTTGATTACACCCTCTGTATTCTTCTATATTTTAATTTTATACTATCCAGGGAACATTTCCATTTTTTTGAATATTTTCTTATTATTACTAATGAAATCCTTTTTATCTTTATTAATACTGTTTGTTTGTAAACCATATTTTTTACACATCAGTTGTTTTCTCTCAATTAATCAAAACGCAATGCACCCTCTGAATTCTAATATCAGCTCTACATTAAGATTTATGTTTAAAAAGGTTTCATTAACATTATTTTGATTCTTTACTGCACAATCGAATACCTTTTTAACTATTGGCCTAAGTTTGAACCTACCATAAGCTACTAACTTAATATTAGTATCACTAAACTTGACATTATCTAATTTTTCAAATAGTTTAAAATGCAACAAGTTCACCTGAGTTCATACAGTGTCCAACTTTATATTCACAATTATAGTATAATTGTTTTCATACCACACCTCCGAGTTAATGGACTTTTTAGACCTAATTAAACTGCAGTACTTCCTTTGAATTCATACACTCCATGTAGCTGAGCAATTGATTCATCTTCTTCACTTGATCCATTTTCAGCTTCCTGAATCCGGATTTCTTTCTTAAAAGCTTTCTTATTTACTTTTGCAAACCACAGCCAAGTGATTAAGATTGTCACATAAACAATATGTTTAACCATATGCTGGGCAGTTCCCAAATACATGTTCTTTATTACACGTATGACAATACTCTTTTTTGAAATTGTATTTATCGGAGTTTTCGTTATTAAAGCTTTCTATATACATTCTTGGCTGACTTAAGCTATTATCATTATGATATACCATATTTTTTATTAGTATTTTTTTTACTAGATTTACTGATACCGTCGTCTTTTCCATTGTTTATTTGTACTACTTGTTCATGTGCACTATCTGTGCGTTTAATTATTCTAACTGTTTTTTCTAAGGATAGTTCTGTGATTAAGCACTTTTAAGCACCAATTAAGCATTCCTGTGATGCTTGATTGGTAATACTAAGAACTACTTGATCCCTAATAATATAATCCACTAAAACTCCGTATTCACAACCAGCCGTTTTAATTTTAAGTTCAGTCGCATAATTATCAATAGATTGACCATCCGCTCTTTTATAAGTTAAAAAAAAAATGTCTTTCATACACGATATTTTTCTTCCCAAATACACAGTTCTTCGAATTCTTCAACAACTATATAAAATGATTCTTCACCTTTAGTGTATATTACATCATTTTAATTAATAGTATTATATATTTTTTATTCCGTCATCATCAATTAGTGTGAGAAAAGTAGCAATTTTTGTTTCGCTCCTTTTAGATGATTTCTCTGTTTCTATTAGATAATTTTTTAATTTTTGTTTAAACTTTAACCAATTTGTTTCAAGATTACCTGTTATTGATAGTTCGTCGTGAATTCTCAGAACTTTCACTGATTTTGTAAGAATTTGAGGCATTCAATTGTGGTATGAACATTTAATTATGAACTTATAATTTTTAAAATATAGATTTTGTTTAAACGCTCCAACATTTTTTTTATTTTCAGACTATGAAATACTCGTATCAATTATATGTTAGTAAATAAGTTTCGAAAAACCGGGCAAGCGCAGTTCATATCAATGTTTTAAAATATAAAATATATTTAATATATTTTGTGAAAAACTACTTTCGTTGGGTGTGCTATACATTTTTGAATTGATTACAATTTTTAATCACGTTATTAGGAAGTTAGAATGGGAAGTAGTATATTTATTTTCAACTTAATCAGCTTATAGTATATCACGAAATATTCATTGAGAAATATATCAAAATATGAATCTTGCCAATGACTTTTCCAATATCACACATGATGGGATACACAAATAACAGTTTTAATTCTTCAGTTTTATATAATGGAATAATTATAAAATGTTTATCGATTTGTTGGTATTTTATCCTGCGAGCGTGCTTACAACACACGTGTCCGTATATTTCCATAGAAATCGATGAAAAATGCCGGAGTTATAAACCTGTGACATGTACGGACGGACATGTTGACACAATTATAAAGGTTCCGTATTTTTACCATTTAGACTACGGAGCAATGGAACCATATCATACAAATCGAGTAAATATATTAATTAAACTATGTCTTCAATTTTTTTAATAAATTCAAACTTTAAAACGAAAAAAAACAATAATAAATAATAAAAAAATCGATTAATTTACAAATGGGAATTATAATAGTTATGCGGAACTCATTAAGTAGGTATAGCAACAGAGTTTTCGTCCCGAGTTCGTATTAATATTATTACTTTGGCTTTACAGTACTTTATTAAACGTAATTTTAAAATAATATTATTTAATAAACAACATTATTATATTCGTAAAGAAATATAAATATTATAGCACCTAGTTACGCAGTAATCGTTGTTATAAAACATGAGTTGCCAATATACTGCTGACAAGGTTACATAAATATTATATTTTACTGCATTTACAAAATATTTAATTTTGAAACAAAATCACAGTTAAATTGTAATAAACAACTTTATATAAATTTCAATACACTATAGCGTATTTTATTAATCGCCAGTTAAATTAACGTTTAATTGTAGTTTCGGATAAATTGCAGATAAAACAAAAATTATAATTATATTAATTATACACGCGACTATTATTTTATTTCGAGCTTTGTTTATAAGATACCTTTCGTTAACAAATTAAATATCTCGAAATACATTAATTTCATTAATATTTATGATAGTCGCATCGTTATTATGAACATTTGGCCAACTTCAATCTGTAAACTGTTGTTTTTATAGGTTCGTTTATAACTACTATAAATTATAATATTAGTCCATATTATTTAGTCTTTTTTTTTTTTATGTAAGTACGTAGAATGTAGATATTAAAATATATTACAAGATTTTGTTTAAATGTTAAAATTTACAGATTATTTTATTTAGATGTATAGGAATAAATGTTTGACTAGTAAAATTTTTCGAACTATTAACTAGTTAAAAATCGAAATTCCAAAAACAAAAAATTTAAAATATTCAGGTTATATTGTTCATGTACATTTAGGTATTCATCTAAATCTATAAGTATTATACTGTAGCCAAAGAGGTAATTTGTGTGTTGTAACTCGCCCTTTGCTTTTTTTTTAACTACCTATAGGCAGAAGGTTAAGAAGGTTATAATCTACGAGACTCCATAACCTCTCGACCCCTCGCTAACCAACCCTAATTAATAAGCCCTAACTGGCTACAAGTATATCTACTTAAAATTATTATTATAATTGTATAACGGCCGCAGTTCTACCGAATACTTTTCTATGTTATCACTCTTGAGTCCAATTCGCCCGGTTCATCGATTACAATTGCGTTTCAACTTGCACGTATGTTTGTACTCGCGTTACATATTGGCCGAACGGGTGCGAATGTGTTGCCGTCTCCATTCACCCGATTAAACAATAACAAGCACATAATGGCGAAACTGCGATATAGAGTGGTTATCTCTTCGTTGCGGGTCGAACGTAGGTCAATACGATTGGTATCTGCGATAAGCGTGTGCAAGTTCATAGACTGTTATTTGATTGCGTCGTATCATCGGTGACATCAAACAACATAATCCATAATAATTGAAATCGCGTTATGCACAGTGCGTGCATAGGTAAGTAACGTGTTCCGTAATTTACTCTGCGTGTATCTATCTTAAACACAAGCACAATTTTTAAAAAATTCATCTAGATAAAATACACTATCAGGTCTTTGCAACCGGAATTTGTACGTTGTACTCAACTGATTTTCCCAAATGGATTTTTCTGGATATAATATTTGTTACAAATGTAACGTCTATTTATATTATACTGCATTATACTTGCTTCGAATAATCTCTGTTTTACTTCCTTCGTTCAACTGTCTTAATAATAAGCATGTTTCCTACCTTCACAACTTTCCACCTACAGCAGTGGCACACCCATCAACAGTATCCGCTCTTTTTTTTTGACAATTATAGTCACTTACAAAAGTCCTAGTATAACAATAATGAAAATGACTTTTCAACAGGAACAGTAAATATAGTTCTTAGAATACTATGTTTTATCCCATATTTCATCGTCCAGGTGCGCTGCGTACAAGCTAAACTTTTCCATGTCATAATTTCTTTGGCCATTCATACACGGCAGTAATTCTGAAACTACTTTTCCACCGTATAATGTCATTAGTTAACAGGCAAAAAAGTTTTTTCCTTATAGGTTATAATATTTATATATAAAATATATTTTCTCGGTCTTGGTTTTGGAGAACTATGTTTTCTTCTTTGCCGGTAATCTATTCAAATTTTACAGAAACACAACGCGTATTTCTACTCGGTATGATTATAATTTTTATGCCACTTACGACAAAAAAACGTTCTAGAATACAATTATATTATTACCACTAGTATTATAAATGCGCACGTTTGTTGCTTGATTTTGCCAAAACGACTGAACAGATTTGGATTAAATTTGACAAACGGATATAATATGTTCTGGATTAACACAAAGCATACTTTTTTTTTTCAGAAAGTCAGCCTCTAGACTCTAAAAAGTAACCGATATAAGGATGTTGGTATTTTTAGAACGAAAATCTAATTTTTTTTGGTTGATTTATAGGTTACTTTGATGACACGGATGAAAAAAAACCCGTTACTGGTAGTTAATATTTTGGTTGTCACTGGTAGACCGGCTCGGATTGAATAGGTGAACTATCGAAAATATCTCGGCAGGTCTCTCAAAATATTATACTTGTTTTTAACTGAATTCATATCAATTAGATCTATTTCGTATATAATTTTGGGCCAGTGAAAATCATAAAACTCGGTGGACCAATAAATTCCGAATCTGGTGCTGCGGGTAGACAAGTACACTTTAAAACAAATAACTACCAGGCAACAACGGTTAACTTTGATAGGTATGGAGTGGAGACTGTGAGTCACAGAAAAATACGGGTTTTTGTTTTTATTTTTTTTTTTTTTTCATTCAGTATTGAATGAAAAAAGCATTGAAAATTGTGGATAAAAAAAACTGCATTGAATAAGTACTTTTTATTAAGTGAAATAACTATTAAAAGTTTGATATTAATAACATTTAAACAGCGTAAAAATGTTTTTGTTGAATTCGGATTCTGATGTTTGCATTATTTAAACTTAAAAATTCAATATTCAAAAGCAGGTACTTTTACGAGTGTTCCTGAAGTACTTTGGTACCTACCGTCTGTATTCATTTATTAAACATCCATAAAACAATTTTAAAAACCGTCTTTTTTTGCTCATAATCTAAAATGCACGAATGGTTTTTATTAAGCCATAGTACATTTTATATTATAAACATCACAATATAATGTATATCAGTCGCCGAAAGCGATTTGTTTTTTAAATTTTACGCATGTATGTCTTACGTCGTGAATAATCGTGGATTAAGGAAAGGATACGGATGTATAGTTTTCAATTAAGATTCGTTGAATATTTATCAGTGCCAGCGTATCACATGTTTGACATAATAATATAATATTCTAAGATTTTTTTAAACCATACAAACATACTTCATCACATCATGTTGTAAATGGTTTGTTCTCACTGGACAATCCTGAAAAAACGAATTTTCAGACTGATTTATTCATTTTTTTCCCATCCCCTTGTATATTATTTTACAGATTATAAAAATATATCTA